TTGGTGATTTTTTTCAAGGGCCACATGGGTAACCCTGCCAGTTGCCCTGCCCCCTGGTTGCCATCTTGGGACTGGAAGTCCCAAGTCCTAACCCCTGACCTTTGCCACTGGAAGTCCCTCCCCTTTTCCCCCAGAAATACTTATTTCGGGGTGGGGGTGTTGCCTTCTTAGAACCAGAAAAAACCAAATCGTACACTAAAAGTCAAACACCTACTATAACATATTTTAATTTTATTACAAAAAATATTTTTGTCGTGATTTGTGTTTGCATAGTGTATATGGAAGTGATTGTATAATAACTCAGAAATAAAGTCTTAGTCTTGTATATTGTGTGGAGTGTGTGTGTGTGAGGGGGTGCAGGGGGAGGTTTTGGGGGGGTGTCTGTGTATGGGGGGTAAAAGGGGATGTTGGGGGGTGTATATGTGGGGGGTTTGTGGGGGCAGGGTGTGGGTGTGTGGCATTTGAGGGGTGTGGGGGACTGTGAGGACCCCCCCATGGCATGCAGCCCCACAGGTGGCAGTGGCAGCAGCAGGCAGGGATGCTCGAGCCTAATGCAGATGCTGGCACCTGGTGGTATGCGATTCTGGCTAGCACTACATGTTGCGGTGAGGAATGCAGCCCCCGCTAGGCCACCTCTATCGAGGGGGTTCTGTGCTGTACACGGGAAGCCCCCCACACTCATGCACCGCTGAAGGGAAGCTCCATGTACTGGACCCGGCTGCCTTCACCACTCCCTGCTGTGCAGATCCTGGGACTCCACCAGAAGGAGCCCTGGCCCCTACTTCCCCATGGAGTCCCAGGACCTGCACAACAGGGGATAGCGAAAGTAGCTGGCTCCAGCGTGTGGCGTGCCAGTCATAGAGGCAGCCTGGCGAGGGCTGTGCTCCTCACTGCGATGTGCAGCACTAGCCAGAGCTGCGTGCCCCTGGGCGCCAACACCTGTCCTAGGTATGAGCGCCCCCACCTGCCGCTGCCACCAGCGGGGCTGTGCACCATGGGGGGAGTATAGAGGGGTCCCCACACACCCTCACCCACCCTGCCCAGCTGAGCTCCATGCTGCTGCTGCCCTCCTGGGTGCAGGCTCCATGCTGCAGCCAGCCCCAGCCCCATTCTCCCTACCCCTGTCCAGCTGTAGCTCCTGCCCCTGACCCCCACCCTCACTGCTTTCCTACCTGCTGCCTGGAATGAGCGGGATGCTGGGGAAGCCAAGCAGGTCCCCCGGTGGCTGCAGCAGTGGCAGCAGCAGTCCCATCCAGAAGCTGTATGCTGGCCAGACCGGACCCTTCTGCCCACAAGGGTGGGAGTGAGGCACAACAGGGTATGTTGGGCAGGGAGGGGTATATCTGTGGGCACCTCACTCCCACCTTTGCGGGCAGAAGGGCTGGGCAAGGTACAATTTGTTGGTGCATGCTGCAGGCCAAATGAAAGTGCCTGGTGGGCTAGATGCGGCCCGCAGGCCATATTTTGCCCTCCCCTGCTCTACAGGGACTGCCCCATCATGACAGACTCCAGGTTTCCTGAATTATAGGAACCGTTCATTTTATAGTTCTGTACTTTTAATATCTTATTAGCAAGAGCAAATAACATGTAACAGTACTGTTCTCTAAGGTTTTCAAAAGCATGGAGACATGGCTGAAGTTATTTGTCCTGGAAAAGTTCATTGTCCTTACCTTCCATCACTGAGAACTCCTAAGAAACCTCAATTTTATCCCATTGAAGCACTAGTGAACGTAAAACATCTCCTTCCGAGCGCTCTCTTCTCTTTGTACCTGCTTTTTACAGCCTCAGGCTATAAATGGATGTCACTGAAAGAAGTGTATTAGCTGTGCCGCAGCGTGTCCCTGTACAGCTCATCTGCTTCATCAGGCAAAATGGACATCACCTGTTGTCTTATAGGGTCTGGCCTCTGCCATTTCTGAGGTTGCCTGTGGGACAATACTTGGGGCGCATCTCTGCAAACAGGGTTCCCCACTTACAGAGGTGCACCTAGAGATTCCAATTCAGGACTCACCTCTGCAAACACAGAAACTTGAACAGGCACTCCCAGGGCTTCAGGGCCCTGATCCTGTGCATCCCGGGAATTTCCTGCAGGGGAATACATGGGGTGGACAGGATTGGGCTTCTGAAGCCCCAAGAGCACTGCTCTGGGCAGACAGCTCTTGGCTGCCCATGTTTGCTCGCTTTAAAACAAACAGACGTTCACTACAAAATGGCAGTACAAATTTATACTATCTTTTGTTGCCAGCTACCAGTTTGGGCATTTGTGGTTTGATGAAGGGCATGAATATCTGTTTGCTTTCACTTTGTGTGGCTATAATTTTTTTTTATGGTGGCATAAAAGTGTGACATCTATTTGCAGCCTCAGTGTCGGAGGAAAGGAAAGAGCATCAGAGCCAAGGTTCCAGCAACAGATTACCATCCTTGCCCTAAGCAAGAGATTTTAGACTTCCCCAGTTCCTCCTTTCTCTGACTTCTGCAACTCCAACTCTGTTCCCAAGGCCCTGACATCACAGTAGAAGGGGGCCAAGTTGAGGAAGGAGATAACAAAAGTAGACCACAGATTCAAAACTTAATTTGCAGTGTGATGCAACCACATAAAAGGCCAATGTAGTTTTGGGCTGCATCAACAGAAACATTAGGTGCAAGACACAGGAGGTGATAGTGCCTCTCTACTCAGCACTGGTTAGACCTTATCTGGAGTACAGTGTGCAGTTCTTGGCTCCACATTTTAAAAAGGTCATGGAGAAGTTAGAGAGGGTCCAGAGGTGGGCAACAAAGATGATCAAGGGCTTGAAAGGCAAGTCATATGAGGACAGGCTAAAAGAGCAGGTATGTTCAGCTTGTAGAAAAAGCACTTAAGAGAGGACATGATAGCAGTCTTCAAATACTTGAAGGGCTGCCATAGAGAAGAGGAAAAACACCTTTTTCTCTTTTGCTGCGGATTGGGGAACACAGACCAATGGCTTGAAGTTGCAACAGAGCAAGTTTAGATTGGATATCCAGAAAGCTTCTTCATTGTTAGAATAGTGAGGCAATGGAATAGACTGCCTAGGGAAGTTATGTACCCTTCATCACCAGAGGTGCTCAAAAAGAGGCTGAACAGCCACTATGCCTATGTTCTACTATGGGTATTTCCCATGCTTCTGGCCTTTGCCAGTTGCCCCCCACCCTTTCTACTCCATGTATCAGGGTGTTTTTAAGCCTTCCTCAGAGGCATTGGGTGTTGGCTACAGCTAAGGCTGGGGTCTTTGACTGGGGAGTGTCAATGTTCCTGTTAGGACCGAAGCCAGAGGTTCCTGGCTAAAGGGTTTTTTCCCCTCTGCTCAGGGTCAGACCGATTGCCATATTTGAGGTCAGGAAGGAATTTTTCCCTGCTTTACCTGGGGCAGGATAGGGTATCAGGTCTATGTTGTGTCAGGTTTGTGGGTAGTCTTACATACAGTTTTTAGATTGTGGCTTGTATGGGATGGTTTGGATAGGGATGATCCTGCCTCAGACAGTGGGGTTGGACTAGATAACCTCTGGGGTTGCCTTCCAGCCCTACTTCTCTGTCTAAATTCAAGGCAAGCCTCCAATAATTAGATTCTCTACTTGGAAAATTATAATAAATGTATACACTTTCCTTGTATAAAATCTAATTATTGGGAGGTTGGTTTATAATCAGGGGTCATCGTCTATTTGAGTAAATACAGTATGTCACTAGGTTTCTACTAAGCAAGCTAGTACTTTCAAGTTTCAGTCTTAAATGTATGTAGAGGTGTTGGCAGACCTGGCCCATGAAGCCATTTTATTTGACCCACAGAATAGTAGGGCTTCTATGGTATGTCAGTGGTGGGGGCTTCACCCAGCCTGTGCGACTGGCATTGACTTTGGCTCTGCCTGTGGCAGTGACACAGGCCACATTGGAAGCAGCCTGTTCTCAGAGTTAAGCTTCATTAAAGCAGCCCCTCACCCCAAAATGTCATCAAGGTCTGCACATAGTTGCTATCTTTGGGTGCCTACACACAAGTGTGGAGGCTGCTTTGATGCACTGGAATTCCAGCATGTCATAGCAGACTCAATCAAGGAGGAGGCTGGAGCAATTAATGAGTCTGCTGGAGCATGGCAATTGCTGCACTCTAGCAGCCCCCTGTGGCTTGTGTATTAGCATTCCCATGCTTAAAAATGATGGCAGGGGTGCTTGAACTAAATTTCATCAAATGAGTTTTAGTTCAAGCACCCCCACCACCTCTGTTAAGTGTGGGGATGCTGATACAGGAGACATGGCGGCACTTTAATTAGAGTGGCTCTCAAAGCCACTCTTAAGTGCCATCCACCCCCACCCACAGAGCACATGTAAAAGTGCTCTTAACGTGAAAATTTTATTCAAACGTGGATTCTAAATAATAATAATTAGAACTGGTTGAAATCTTTCATTCAGAAATTTTCTCAACCAAATATTGGCCTTTTTCTGAACTCAAAGATTTATGAAGAGCATCTGCATTTGTTAAACTTTGTTTTTTTAATAGAAGTTAAAAATTTTGAAATGTTAATGTTTTCCTTTCTTTACCTTTTTGAAAGTGCTTTAAGACAACCTTACAGGGGTGTAGGTTGTAGCTGTGTTGGTCTAAGGACATAGGCAGACAAGGATCTTTGGATGAATCTGTTCTCTTTTATTAGACCAACTTAAATAGTTGGAAAAAAATTTTCTTTGCAAGCTTTTGGGGTTTTAAAACTTTGTCAGGCTCAAGAAGCCTCTGCAGTTGGTGCGTGTGCTCTTCCTGGATGGAATGAATAGTAAAGAAGCCAGAGGCTGAGCTGGTATGCATGCAAGACAGGGAGTCAGTGAAGATGTAAATTGAGGAGTCAGTGGGTGAGAGACAGGCTGGGTTGGGGGGAGAGAAAAGGGGGATGAATGTAGGGAAGAAAAAGGGGGATGAATTAAGACAACCTTAATTTTCAGCAAATCATATGCTTTGAACTCTGAAATTTTAAATATGTAATTTGAATTCTGCTTCCAGTTGTTACGAAACCAGAGATTTCCCGCTTCTTTTCACCATGCAGTAGAAACAGTTGTTAATATGTTAATGCCACACATCACTCAGAAGTACAGAGACAACCCAGAGGCTTCCAAAAATGCAAACCATAGCCTTGCAGTCTTTATAAAGGTAGGTACACACAGACATTATAGGATCTAAGCTCATAAGTTCATTTTCATAGATTTTATTTCTTATAGATTTTAAGGAAGTTTATGCTTCAGAAGCGTATAATGAAAAGCATATATGGAAAGCATTTTGTGTGCATTTCTGACTGGGCATATTAAGAAGTGCAGAAGAGTAATTTAAGTACCCAATGCAATTTGAAAAAATACATTTTTAATATGCAAAGGGTGCATAGAATATGTATTTAAAAATCAAGCTTTATTTCTATGCATACTTCCTTATTTTATTATGTCTGAGATTTCTTCATATTTTGTTACCCAGTTATTCTTCTAATGCTGCAAGGATTTAAGTATATGCTGGGGTTTTTTAATGTATTGAGTAATATATCTTAACTATCACTGTTTGTTCCACAGAACTTATTATTCAGTACTGTCAAAATTGATTCCTACATATAATAATATCTAAATGTTTTTCTGTGGAAAAATTATTTTTAGAAGATTTAAGTACTGTTCCATGGTTATGTGCTCACTTTTTGTGCTATCTAAAATCGAGTTAAGTTTTCTCTTTTAAATAGTCAATGTCATTTTTTTTTCTTGTAAAATAAAGCAAATTTGCATTATGTAATGTAGACTGCTTGATTCATTAGCATTATGTTCAAAGTAAATTATGAGCAGCAAATATGCTTGGAAGGTAGACTTGTAAAAGTTGGTGTCTGACTTTACATAAAGTTTTGCATTTGTTGCTTATAGTAATTTATCATTTTGTTTTTCAGAGATGTTTCACCTTCATGGATAGGGGTTTTGTATTTAAGCAAATTAATAACTACATCAGCTGCTTTGCTCCAGGAGAGCCAAAGGTACTGAAGCGTTCAAGACCTTTGTTCATAGGGGTTTCTTGTTTACATGTACGTAGCAAATTTCTGTGTGGGGATCTCAGAATTCCTTCCACTTACGTTCAGACATATTGTTAAGGTAAATCTCCCATTTGTTTGGTAGGACTAAGCCACTTTTTGTCTCTAGCCGTCCTTCCTTACTTTTGCATCTTGGACCAGTAGGAGTGGCAAAGTAACCTTCCAAGTAGTATTGTGGGGACTGTACCATTCATTAACATCCCTAGCCGTTAAATGGATGGAACAGCATTAATGAATATTTTAGACAGTCGTGAAAGTTGCAGGAAGAACAATGACAACAGTTATTAGAGTCCTATAGTATTGGGGATGTCCCTACGCATTGTGATTCATATGCTTTGGTTCTTGATAGCAAGTGTACAGGATTTCTTCCAGATTTCCAAGCAACTCTTAATTCTATGCATGCCACCCTATGCTGACTTGACAAACATTTGTAATCAAAGACTGAATAAAGAACTAGTTCTAGCTTTTGCTAACATGTACTGTGCTGAACAGCTCCTAGGTCTGCATGGAATGACACATGCAATCCTTAGGGTAATAGATTTAAGAGAAATCATCAGTTAGTGTCAAGAAATGTGTTTTATGTTTAGTAAATTATTAAAATGTATAATTTGCATTTGAAATATTTTTCAGACCCTTTTTGAATTCAAATTTGAATTTCTTCGGGTGGTATGTAATCATGAACACTACATCCCGTTGAATCTACCTATGCCCTTTGGAAAAGGCAGGATTCAGAGATACCAAGGTAAATCCACACTTTTTATATTTTAAAAATTAGTCTGTTTATAAGAACAAGCTATTTAAATGTGTAATTAAGGCATTTTTACATTTTTGAAAATGTCATATTGAAGTCTTGTATAATAATCTTTTTTCCTATTAAGCTCCAAAGCAGTAGTTTTATATAGATACATTCTACACTGAAAATGTCTAGGTAATATAATACAGCACCCAGGAAAAAAATCTCTGGTGAAATTCAGCTTTGATTTTTTTTTTTATTTATTTGGGTTTTTTTCCCCCTGTAATGTTTCCTGCTTTGCTGAATAACGGTACTTGAGCTATATATTACTTACAGTAGCTTATTGTTCTTGTTTGTTCTACTTTGTTTCCTTTTTATGACTTAGCTTTTCTTTCACGAACTGTGGAGTCCTATGACACTCCTGTAGGTAGGTGCGGGGTGTGATGCTTGCTTTTTGTTTTCCTTTTTTATTCCATTTCTCACTTTGTGTTAAAATAAGTACTCTGCAACTATCCCATTTGGGGCATGGAGGTGCTAGTATATTCTCTTGAATTTTTGGCAAACTTTGTCACCAAGAAGCTTTAAAATAAGTGCAATGATAACTGAAAAAACAGCAGGCCTTGTTTTCAGAGAGTGAAAGTGCATGAATATATAACCTTCAGATGCTTGCTTTGCAAATTCTTTGCTGCTTGCAACACCATAGAATCATAGAAAAGGAGAGTTAGAAGGGACCTCTGGAGATCATCTAGTCCAAATCCCATGAAGGCAGGATCACCCCTATCCAAATTATCCTGTACAAATCCATTGCCTTATCTAGTAATAAAAATACAGTCAACCCCAACACGGGCATAATATTTAACCCCCTGATCTGCCACAGGTAAATCAAGAGGGCAGTGACAGCCAATGTTCCACTGCTTTGAGAGTTGTTAAAATACTAGAGAGATCCAGTTATAAATTTGTTCTCATTATAAATTCTAGTTATACGTGTGCTGTGATATACTTCATTCTAGTTTTAAACCCTGATATTTTCTCTAAATACCTATGATTGGATCCCTCTTGAAGTCAGTGGACTCTGCATGAACATAACACTGATATGCATATTCAGTTGCAGAACCAGGGATGTTAACATGTTGATCTTTTGTGATATACTTAAAAGGGTATCCTAGTAAAACTGGTTGAATTGAATTAACTTTAAATGAGTGTCTTTGATAAAGCTCTTCAGTTTGTATACTGTTGCTTTAAAAACCTAGCTCTTTCCTGGGTTCCAGAAAGAGGAAAGGTGTGCATTAATAAAGGTGTCCCTCTAATATTTTGGCTACATTTTTAAAAAAAATTATAACCCCAGGTAGCAAAAAACATGATGATTAGAACTATGATTAAGGATGGTGCAGGCACTAAGATGCTCAGCCCAGAGGTCACAACTTCAAGGTCATAGCAGAAGTTTTCATGGTGGTACCCTGTCCGATTCCAACAAATCTGTGAATGCTGCTAAATACCTTGTCACAATAAGGACACAAGAAGGAAGGAAGGACTACATACAGTATCTTAAAATAGATTTTTTTTCCTCTGTTGAAAAATGCACATTAAAATTGTTGGTTTTTATTTGGTGTTTTGTTTCTTATGTGCATTTATATATATGTGAATATAAATTTGATTAAGATATAGTTTAGTTTTGCTTTTCATTCTAATTACTACTAGAGAGATAAATGTTTTAAGAGTAAAATATGGTGTTTCTATCACATTGTGAGAGTTACTTTTTTAAAAAAACTTTTCAGTGTAATCTTTATATATAGTGGCACTCTTTTAATTAATATGCAAAGGTAATCTAAAAATTATTTCTTAAAAAATCTTATATTGCATAGTCATGGAAAATTGTCCAAAGTAAAACTAACATAATACAGGTAAGTAATGCAAGTTTTGGGGGAGGGGATTTGTTTTGTTTTGTTTTTTTTAACAGATTTAAAATTAATAATTTTTCAGATCTGGTTAGCAATTATTTACATTCATATGTTTCTGATAATTTTTAGAATAAATTAATTAATTTAGGGTCCTTTTCTTTGTGTGTACAATGCTTCTCCCTGAAACATTTTTAATATCTACTACAAAGTTTTATGAAGTTTTTTACTTGCTAGGAAAAAAAGCAGTAAATTCTTAGTCCTGCAAAGAACTCCTTTAATAGTGCAAAATACTCAGTTCAGTGAATTTAGATTTTAAAGAACTTGAATATCTAAAAGTGAAATAGGATATCTATATGCAACTCATAATCTTGCAAGTGACTCTGGACAGGCACAGTGGCTCAAAAATATGTGAATGGGCCTCAGATGCCCAAGAAGTGCCCTCATTATACAAAGATATTGACACCTACTACTGCCATTGAAAAAAATGGGGGCACATCCCCTGCATATGAGGCCTCTACTAAGGTGCCTAAATACACATTTAGAAGACTGACTTTAGGCATTGAACTCAAATTTTGGCCCAAGTGAATTAAAAATAATTTACATTTAAATACTTGTTCCATTTTGCTGTTTCTGGGAATTTTTTGTTAAAAGCTATGGTAGTGTTTAGATTTCATTAACTCTGGCTTTTATATGCTGAATGAATACATAGCATGTAGTAATAATCTAATGCACATACATGGTTTTGAAGTTAAGGTGGGTTTTCACACAAGATATGTTTGATTTATCTTTATAAATGAAGTTGAACAAAGGGGAATGGAGGGAAATTACTTTGCAAATTAATATTAATTGCACCACTCCTAAACTATAACTTGTACTCTACTTTCAGACCTTCAGCTTGACTATTCATTAACAGATGAGTTTTGCAAGAATCATTTCTTAGTAGGACTACTCCTGAGGGAGGTGGGAAATGCATTACAAGAGTTCAGAGACATCCGGCAGATTGCAATTAGTGTGCTCAAGAACTTGATGATAAAGCATTCTTTTGATGATAGATATGCTTCCAGGGTAAGTTACTGCTATGTCATCAGTACAAAGTGTTAGAAGTTTAGGTATGTACATTTTAAGGTTTTACGAATAGAACTTTGTTTCTATTTATTTGCAGACATAGTAGCAACAGACCATAAATGTTTTTAATATGAAGATATGTATAGCTAATGTTGCTCAAACATTGGTTTCTGCAGTTGTATCAGCTTGTTAGTGCATGCACTTTTTAATTGTGCTAAAATGCTTTATGATTACTGCATTGCAGTTAAATTGGAATGAATATTGATTCAGTTAGGATTTCTTACCAAAAATAACTAGTTTTTAACACATTTATTTTAGTGAACATTAGCAATTAGCTTACAATTACTTTTTGTCAATCTTCCCATCATCTATTTGAGTGAGAAATAGTTAATTTAAATAAAATTAGCTGTGGTAGTAGACACTGAATTATTTTGAAGTTTCCTGTTTGTTTTTTAACTTGGAGACAACTGTACTATGGGGAAGCCACGATATTTTGATTGCAGACCTGATGGGCTACTCAAGTTCACATAACATTAGTTTGACCCTTCCTGTATTTTGTTTAAACCAGAGGTTCTCAACCTTTTTCTTCCTGAGCCCTGCCCCCAGCATAAATTCCATGGCCCACCTCTGCCACAACAACTGCCTGACTCTCCAGCCCTGCCATTACAACTCTAGGTATAGTGCGCAGGTCTCAGTGATGGAGATGCCCAGGGCCACAGTAACCTGAGCAACAGCAATGCAGTCTTGCCTGCCTGCAGGATGGAGACTATGGGGCTGGGTGAGGTGGGTCGGCTCCTTCTTTGGGACACACTTTAACCCCACGTAGCCATGGCAGCTCTTCTGTGTGCTGGGCCAGGCTGGCCGGATCCCTTGAAACCTGCTTGCAGGACCTCTTATTGAGAACCACTAATTTAAACCACATTTGAATACTTTAGAGTTTCCTGTGATAGATATAATTAATAAGGAATACATTCCTTGTTTTGTAAATTTTAATGGCCATCCCTTTTAATAATGGCACACCAAGGGGAAAGTAGAGATTGTCATTGTGTATTGGTAAGGTAATGGATATGTCCTTTAATCCTGATTTTGTAAATCTTTCCTATTGCTTAATAAAAACACTGGTGTCATTACTGATTGCTAATAAGGACTATGAATTTGTTTTTAGAGCCACCAAGCAAGAATAGCTACTTTGTATCTGCCATTGTTTGGACTGCTAGTAGAAAATGTTCAGCGAATCAACGTCAAAGATGTGTCTCTGTTTTCTGTTAATCCTTCCAGCAGTGTGAGTGTGCACTCCTGATTCTTTTTTGATATTCTCTTCTGTTTTTATCAGAATACATTCAGTAATATACCTATGATCTTTTGTATATTAGGAGTCTAGGATAAGATTTCTAAAGGTAGTGACATGGATAACTACCTCTTTAAATAACTGGTGTCAGTTTCTCTAGACCAGTCAAGCTGCACATACCGTTACTGTCTGAACTGGTGTGATGCCCTAAGGGTGATAGTGTGCGTTTGGTGTACATCTACAATCTTAATATTTTGCTGTTTATGAACCAGTGTGGACATGCAAAATTTCCATCTAAGTCATAAAAATTGTAGATGTCTAAGAGGTGCAAGATGGAGGCAGTATAGTGGTTGTCAACCTTTTTTCATGTGTGAATCCCTAAAAATTTTGAATGGAGGTACATACCTCTTTGGAAATATCAAATGGGCATGTTGGACCCCTTTGAATTGTAAGTGTGGGTATTCACATACTTTTGATTGTAGTCATTTTTTGCAGACCCTTTAGACAGTCTGCAGATCTCTAGGGGTCCATGGATCACAGGTTGAAAACTACTGGTGTAGTGTATATGTACTTGCTTTCAGAAATCTGTTTCTGAAATGTTAAAATAACATTAAAATTAAAGTCTAACCATCAAAAATAGAAATGATTGAATGACTGAAGGTTGTTCTTGATTGACCTTCTTATTTATCTGAATTGTAATGCAGTCTTTGTTAATATACACTTTTTAAATAGCTAGATGCTATTTAAAATTTTAATAACTTTACTTTTTATTCAGGAATTATACTTTTTATTGTACATCCTGACCCTGCTAACAGTTGTAGTTAAGATGCTGAAAGTTAGTGAGAATTCTCCTGCATAATATTAAGTACATACGTTAATAACAAAGGAACAGCAGTTTTTGATATTGAAATAAAGAAAAATATAATAGTTGTTGGTACTCAGCAAAATAGATCACACATTGATGTCTTTTTAAAACTTTTATCTAATTCAGTTAAACAACAGAATAAATACAGATACATTAGACATAAATAAACTTGGGTTATATGCTAGGGTAAGGTTTCAAACCATCAGAGGAGGACAGCCCAGTAGAAGTAATGGGGGAAAATAATCAGTTTTAAGATAGAGCTTGATAAATTTGTGAACAGCATTTTGCAAAGTGTATGCCTTTAATGCCAGAACACTAGACTCAATGATCCAGCATATATGTTTGAGTCCAATGTTGCAAAGTTTCCACTATCAGGTCACACAACAAAGAGAAATATTTATGCAGTGTTTCTACTAGAAAGAATTTCTGGATGATTTAAACAAAAATAAGGTGAGCTTAAATATATAATTTTGCTACTAAAATTATCTAGGAAATGTTGCAGGAAATATTTTTCTATGTTAGAATTTATGAACCACTAAATATTACAGTTTTATTTCACTTCTCTGTGACACACTAAATTGAGGCCATCCCTGATTTATGAAAACATCAGATATCTCACTTCTACTTATGTTGTTATAGTTTTTGTTATATAGAAATTCTAAATATCAGGCTACGCAGATTATAATCACTTGGGTGTGTTTTTCTTTCTTAGAGTGCAAAAGATGAATCACTCAGTTTGCCCACTGCAAATCCTGTAGTAACACCACAAAAATCAGGAAACACATTGGATAACAGCCTTCACAAAGATCTGTTTGGTGTTATTTCTGGCATTGGTAATACATTTTTAAGTCCTTGCTAGTTTCATTTTGTTTTCCTGTATTAAAAAGAAATGTCGTGATATTAAAAAAAAATGTTGTGAAGGCATGTATATCTTGTTATGAAAGATATAAACTTTGAACTTGATGTAAGTCTTTATTGACTTTCCCCCCACAAATTGTTTTGTTTCTATTGCATTGCAAAAAAAGAGTTGGGGGTAATCATGGTTGGGCAAAAGAATACCTCAGCATGTAAGAGAGTATCCAAAGGATTGCTGTTGATGGTAGGTGCATAGTAATAGGGATTTCAACTTACTAGCTCTGAAACTGGGCAGAACCCTTTTTTCTAAGTTGCTCAGCATTTTCTCTAGCAGTACAACTACCTCCTTGCATGTGACTGTTTTGCTTGAACAACTCAAATCTATTTGGAAAAAGAACAAATTAGAAATGAAACTAGTAATATGATACGGAATAAGAAAAGAACTTGAGCCAAGTCAGATGCGAAGTCATCCACCTAAATTTGTTATTGCAAGGTAAAATGGGATAGGCATTTGCTGCATGTCAGCTGCTATTTACTTAGCCATCCTCAGTAGATGAAAGCTAAATGGTGGTAGTGTTCCCCCTAAGTCCTGTTTTAGTAACTAGTTTGTATGCACTTGCTTCCCTTTTAGAAAACTTGTGTGTCCTTGTAGTTATATTTTATAAATAAAAATTGAAACTGCTCACAATATTATCAGCAGAAGACCTAAAACTTCAGCTTTTTTGAGAGAATGAACCAAAACATGTCTGTGTTCTGATACGTACAACTGAGATGATAACAAAGCTAACAGTAATAATAAAAAAAAAAAATCTCTCAGAAGTATTGTAATTGAGTCCTCCAGAACAGGTGTCATAAAGATTTTGCAGTCTAACGAGAGATAAATCAATACAATTGTGTTCAAATCCACAAACTTTGAAATAAAGAGTGAACAGAGGAGTTTTTTCACATCCTCAGAAGTCATTGATAAACTCCATGAAGTCTCTCTCTCACGCCATGTGAGAGATTGTTTACACTACATTTTGGGGTATTGTGGTACAACTCAACTTGATACCTAACATGGATAGGGACAATTTGTGTTTAAAAACATTAGCTGGTTGTGGCTAGCACGCAAGTAAATGTGGCTGCCTTTATCTGCAATTAAGACAGAGTTGTTTTTTGCATCCTAGTTAAAATATTAGTTAAAAAGTTGCTTGACATTTTTCCAGCTTAGACTGAAACAGCTGTTTACTTATTCTTGAGAGAGATCAATTAATGACAGTCTGTTTTCCTTCTTCCTTAGTTCAGAGAAACTTTTAATATTCGTATTTCACTATTATGCCCACACTTTGGATTCAGAAATCTATACAAAAAGCAAAAGCTGAACATCATGTTCTTTACTTTCTAACATTGACAGGCAATTTATTGAGTTTCATCCAAAGATCTTTCTCTTCACTGACTAGAATAATCAAAGCTTTTCATAATATAGATTCATGTCCCCATTTCTACCAGATCAATTAAATCAATTTTATGATGATGAGCAGCTGAATCTCTGTGGGTTCTATTCGGTTCCCAGGTCCCCCGGAGCTGTTAAGACTCCGTGGGTTCGAAAATTGGGTCCATAGGATAGGGATACGTCTAGGGTTGCGGTCGGCGACGGGGAGAGGCTAGAGGTTATGTGCCTCAGAGTTGTTAAGGCTCCAAGGGTTCGGAAATTAGGTCCCCCAGAGTTGTTGAAGCTCCGTGGGTTTGACAAATTAAACCTCTGTTGCCCTCTTAAGGAAAAAGCTGGGTTCGAAGGGATCAGCAGCGCTTAGAGATCCTCACGCTCCTTTCCCGAACTCCACGTGCTTTCTCTCTCTCCGACTTGGGCGGAAACTACCCAAGCCTTTT